AAATAAATAATAACATAAAAAAGTTGGCAATAGGAGTTACCTCAGCTGTTGCTGATTTTGTCTTTTTCTTTCAATATAAACCATTCCAATACATAAATAATATTTGTACCATATTTTCTCAATACAAACTCCAATTAGTAACATCAAATTAAGCCGAAAACAATGTTTTCATTAAAAACAAAGAATATAATACATGGGTGCGACGATTCGCCGTACAATAACAAATTACATCTCGCAGTGATTACAGCGTGGCAGCCAGCATCCAAATTGAGATTACAGCTGTGCAGATTGAACCGTCTCGATTCGACTAATGAGCCCCTAATTGGAAAGCTCATTGCTCTAATTGCTATGCCAATTATCCTCACTTCATTTGAATGCACGACCGTGTGTAATATGTCGCCTACTAATGACTACGCCTTGACGGGTGCCGCGTATGTTGAAAGATTCGTTTTTTATTTATGACTACCATAACCTCAGATTTTTTTACTATTTAATAATAATAATCATAAGCGTAAAAAACTAGCAAATGAGACAACAATGAGAATAATAATAATCTCAGGACAATTCACACACCGCCATCTAGACCCAAGTTAAGCTGGCTAAAGCTTGTGTTATGGGTACTAGATAATGGATACAAATACATATATATATTTTTCGTAAATACATATTATATATAGATAATACCCAGACAGATAAAAGCAGTCATACTCATGAATACAAATATTTGTTCCGTGCGAGGAATCGAACCCGCGACCATCGGTCGTAAAGTGGTGTAGACCGCTGGACACATAATTTATAAAGCTTTAAACACTTATAATTTTCGGCTAAAGCTTTATAAGTTACCTGAATAAGAACACTTGTAATTCGGTAACTACAGACTATCAAATGCTAAATATTGTACCTAATATATGATTCAGCAATGTATACACTATCTAAATAGGATGTAACAGGGGATCAACGCTTCGAAATCTCCTGTACGGAAGCGTAAAAGTAAACGAGGTGGCCACACTTTAACAGTATCGACGTTTGAGGTCGCGCCTTACTTGATATCAGCTCAAGGATCTCGGATAAAAAATGTCTTCAATGGATGCGGCAAATGAATTAATATATATATGAAATTAACCAGAAAACAACCCTGATGATTTACAGAGGCCGTGGAGGTCCACGCTTGTAACTTGTTAGGTGCAAGGTACATTGCTAGGAAAGGGATCACGAGTCCCTTTACTAATAAAGCTACGTCCTTCCTGGAAACCATCGTTGATCATCTTGGTCACCAGAAATAAATTCTGGTGACCGAGGTGGTCTAATTGATCTGACTTCTTCTTTGATCATCAGGTCCACTGCCAGCCTACATCGTTACAGCAGCTGGATGCAATACTCCGTCCTTACTAATATTATAAACGTGTAAAATCTATACTTTCATTACTGAATGGATTTTAATGACACTTTGTATAGCTGTTATATCATATTAATATATGAGATATAATTTATAAAGATGTTGTGTGAATTGGCCAAAATATATTTCAAGCAAGTAGGAAAAATATCTGCCATCTGCGAGCTATTTTTGCATGCGTTACGCCTTCACGACTAAACTGCTAAACCAATTTTGAAGATTTTAGTATATCCAAGGTCCTATGTATATTACATAGGACCTTGGAGAAGAAAATAAGTTACTCGAAGTACTAATCCTGCGCATCCTTGACAAAGTCGCGATCACTAGTATTACATATATAAAAAAAACAACTCCCGTCTCCAGATATCTTGATATTGCACAGTAGATTTTCTGAGTGGAATAGAATAGAATAGCACTTTTGAATAGTCAAAATTTACCTAAAACCACGTCACAGCTTCAAAAATTACTATATGGTAGTTACAGTATTCGCACTTTACATGAGGATGCATGCGGCAATCAATACAAAAGCCGCTACGCTATCATATATCAAGATAGCAGTATGAAAAATAAATTATAACGTTGTCCGCAAATAAACTTAACTTGCTGTCATCTATAAATTCATCTATCCTATAATAGGCTCTTTACATAACATTTGTTTAATATAAAATTTGAATTGCCTCTCTGTCAGATTTAGCGTAGATTCTGGCAGTTTATTATAGAATCTTACGCAATTACCATAAAATGAATTACCAACTTTGTGTAGTGGTGTGTAGTACATCCTGGCACTAAGCCTCTCGAGCCAATCAGGCGGAATGTTTTCTACGGCAGTATCGGGCCCCCAGCGGGCCCTTATTTCCTGTACGGTTACCGCGGTCCCTACTAATAGTTTCTGTTATTCTATGAAATGTAGTTTTCATTTCATTTAGAATTGTAGAATTTTTTATTTATTTGCTTTGAATAGGATACATTGTTCTTATAAGTTAATTTACAGTTCCATATTCAGCTACAGTTTGAGCATGCAAATTTAAATTAATGTTAATATGAAATTTAACAAATGTTAACAACGAAAATCATAATTATTTAAATTGTTAAAGGTCCAAAATTAAGATCAGAGAATTAAAATTAAATTAATTATTTATTAAAGTAGAGGTTCTTTATTATTTATTTATTAAACAATATTACATAATGTAAATAATAATAGTATATCTTAACAATACACATGACGCCATCTAGTCCCAAGCTAATTATAGCTTGTGTTGTAGGTACAGTTGTCTAAACTGATATAAATACTTAAATCTATATTTTATGTAAATACATAATACACATAGAAAACACCATACTCCTGTATATTTATATCGTGCCAGGAATCGAACCCGCGACCATCGGAAAAAAATCCGCTAGACCACCACGGCCCTACAAAAACAGATTGTAACGCTGTTAGTTTCTAATAAATAAATAAAAAAAGAATAATACTTGAATTGTAAAAAAATAAATAATTTGATTACTTTTTAAAACTTTGATACCTAAACTATAATAGCTAGGGGCGTATTTAAGAACGTATCTTGCCAGGTTAACCTCCACATGGTTCCCTCTAGAGACCAGTGTGATACATTCTTTATGAACATGTCACGATAGACTAACTGATCTGACCTCATGTTCTTATTATCCTCCACTGGTCCCCCGCCAGCATAATCCGTTACCGCAGGCGGGGGCACCATTACATAAACAAAAAAAACTGCAACAATTATTCAAATTATCCTCCACTGGTGCCCCGCCAGCGTAAACCGCTAGGGTAGGGGCACCATTCCATCAATAAATATAGATGAAATTGGAGTGTCTGTTTGTAATATTGCAATAACCGTTTTTTACTACATGCATATGAATATAAATACGGTATATACACCAAAATAACAGTTTGTACACTCTGTCTGTCTGTTTGTTCCGACTAATCTTTGAAATAGCTGGACCGATTTTAACGGGATTTTTTTTGGCAGACAGTTGATTTAATAAGGAGTAACTTAGGCTACTTTTATTTTAGAAATATAAAGTTAAATTCCACGCGGACGAAGTTGCGGGTTAGTTAGTAAACCATAAAAAAGGAACCACAATAATTATTCAAAATAAAAGATGGCGGTTCGTAGTAGGGGCCGATGCCACAAAACATCTCCCAACGTAACCCGCGTCATTCTCGAAATTGTCCTCTTTAACAACAGACTCGAATCATCTTTGGCGCCAGAATAAAACGTTTTGTATCGGGAATTGAATCGCCCGGGTCTACTATGTCTATGGGTTTTGCGTGGACATGTCTATTATTACAGATGTAACATATAGTACTCATTTTATATTCATGTAGACAGAACAAATCTTATGGTTATAATAAATAGACTGGAGGTATGTGTGAGATTAGTGAAATGTCAATAACGATTTAAAGTTATATTAGCGGACCCTGCAAACATTGTTTTGTTACATAAATTTAGATATTCATATCGCTATTAAAAAATAGAGGGTTGAAATTTGTGAAAATTTAGGGTTGTATGTATTTTTTACAGTCTCATTATAAAAAAAAAAAAAATATTGTCCAGAAAATAAAAAAACAAATGTTAGGGGTAGACAACTCTTATCACTTAAGGGTAGATAGTAGCCGATGCTTGTAGAGACTGGTCTGTTCTAATCACTGTGACAGATTTCCTCTTATTAATTGTTTAAGCAGTTGGTTATATATTCAATATTTATTCTATTTGAGTATTTAATTGAATTAGTGCTAATTAGTGGTTTGTATTCACACACTTAAACTTAAAAATGTAAAGTAATAACAAAATTATTTAAAAGAGCAACACGCAAGTTTCTTGCTCGTTCTTCTTGTGATGAGACAGCTTTCCGAATGAGCGGTAGATTAAAAAAATGTGATGACTATTCAAATGTAAGTTTAATTGAATAAATGATTTTCTATTCTATTATATTCTATTTATTCTTTGGGGTTTCTTATTAGTGTAGATATAAAATAAAAGTTCGACTTACGGTTGATAAATATGTATGTATATATTGTCCCAACACGTAAACACAGTTACACTTAGATAGGAAGAAAGTATATACAGTAGAAGGAGAAGAAAGTCACAAGCACAGTAAAGAAATAAGCACAGAATGAATATAAGCACTAATGAATAAGGTGATATAAATGAGAATAAGCAGAGCAATATCAATTACAGTACGGCCGATTTATCAAGCGAGTAGCGAGCGTTCCGCGTCATAGATAGTTCTCGACTGGTTTGGTAATATCGAATTGAATGTGCGCTCGCGCTGTTGGCCGGTTCCTCGGCGCGCTGACTACCTACATAGCGAACAAAAGAGTTGTGACGTCAACCTCTTATTGAGCGTTTCCACTGCACGCTGCAATTGTACTAGACGAACCGGTACGGTTTAATATTGATAAAGTGTAAATAAATATTACGTATATATTTATGTATAAGTATATGTATATTGTATATAATTAAGGTTATTATTATTAAATAATTGTATGTAATAAATATTTGTAAATAACTATAAATAAATTTATGAAACTGTGTATTTATGTGTGGGAATCGCCTACACCACCCCCCACCAGAGACCGTCAGGGGCGATAAAAATTTGTAAACTTCACACGCCGCCCAGAGCGAGTGATACGGTCTTTGTGAACTTCAGGCTGGGGTTCCTCATCTTGTTCTCTAAGAATGAAAGCCGGTTTTAATCGGTCTATAGAAACCGTGACTTCCTTATTTTTGTGGAGTATTTTAAAAACTTTATCTCCTCTAGTTAGAACCCTATGTGGGCCAGAGTAAGCGGGTTGGAGTGAACCACGTGATGCGTCCTCACGTAGGAAGACGTGATCACTGGTGGTTAATTCCTTGTGGATGAAACATTTTGTGGTGCAGTGCCGCGAAGCGGGTACCGGACGTATGTTTTCAGCAAATTTTCTAAGGCGAGCGGAAAATTCTGATATATCAGTGGTTCCGGGTACTGTGGCCTCAAAAAATTCGCCAGGTAGTCTTAACGGCTCGCCGTATACTAATTCTGCCGACGAAGCCTGTAACTCGTCCTTAAATGCGGTTCTTACACCGAGCAAGACCCACGGCAAGGATTCTGTCCACTGGTCATTAGCGTGACATACTATTGCCGCCTTGAGTTGCCTGTGGAAGCGCTCCACGAGACCGTTGCATTGTGGATGGTATGCGGTCGTCCGTTTATGCTCAAAACCAGTCATTTTGGACAGACTTTCGAACAGTGCTGATTCATTGCCGTCCACGGTCGGTTGTAATGACTAATGGGCAACCGAAACGAGCAATCCACGATGACAATAAGGTTTTCGCCACAGTCTCCGCAGTAATGTCTTGTATCGGTACTGCTTCCGGCCATCGTGTGAAACGATCTACGCCAGTAAGACAATACCGATAGCCTTGCGAGACTGGCAGTGGACCTACCAGATCAATATGAATCTGAGTGAATCTCGCTCGTGGTAATTTAAAGTTGGCAAGGGGGGAATTGACGTGCCGATTAATTTTTACTCGTTGGCACGAAATGCAGACGCGTGCCCAGTCCCTACAATCTTTCCTAACACCTGGCCAAACGAACCGTTCCGCTATTAATTTGGCGGAAGCTTCTTGTCCAGGGTGGCTAAGGGAATGCAGGCTATTAAAGACTTGCTTTCTGAAGGGTTTTGTTACAAAAGGCCTGGATGTCGCTGTACTGACGTCGCAGTACAAGGGTAAGCGACTTCCAGGTACATGTAGTTTTTCGAGGCATAAAGATGATCCTTCCTCGATGAGTTTTGCTAACTCAGCATCGGTGACTTGACTTTGGGCTAAGAGGTCGAGATCTACTGGACTGCTCAATTCATCAATACGCGACAGAGTATCCGCGACGACATTATCCTTGCCGGATATGTGCCGAATGTCGGTGGTGAATTGAGAGATGAAGTCCAGGTGCCTATACTGCCTAGGCGAGCAGTTTGTCTTCCTTTCGTGGAATGCGAAACTGATCGGCTTGTGGTCGGTATAAACAATAAAGTGCCTGGCTTCGAGCATGTGACGGAAATACTTTATAGCTTCGTAAATAGCCAGTAACTCACGATCGTAGGGGGAATATTTTTCTTGGGAAGTTGTTAACTTCCGGGAGAAGAAAGCTAAAGGTTCCCACAGATCGTTTTTATACTGCTGTAAGACAGCACCCAAAGCCTTATCGGATGCGTCCGTCACCAATGCTAACTTAGCACTGCAGTCTGGGTGGGCTAACAAAGCTGCGTTAGAGAGTCCGTCCTTACAGGACTCAAATGCCGATAGGGTGTCACCTGATAAATTGATTGGGTGTGATCCTTTTACAGCCCCAGTCAGCAACGCGTTTAAAGGAGCTTGAGTTTGGGCAGCTTGAGGAATAAATCTCCTATAAAAGTTGAGCATGCCCAAAAATCTCCTTAACTGACGTACGTTGGTGGGGGTAGGAAAGTCCCTTATGGCCTGCACTTTGGAGTCCAGTGGTTTGGTGCCATGCTCAGAGATATTGTAGCCTAGAAAGGTTACCTCTTTAGCCCCGAAAACACACTTGGACGTATTAACCAGCATGCCATAGTCTTTTAGCCTCATGAATACCTTACGGAGGTGATCCTCATGCTGTGCCTCACTCCTAGAGAAGATTAGAAAGTCGTCGAGATAGCAATATACGAAATCGAGGCCTCGGGTCATCTCATCGACAAATCTTTGAAAGGTTTGCCCCGCATTCCTAAGACCAAAGGTCATGAAGGGAAATTCGAATAACCCGAATGGCGTAGTTATTGCTGTCTTCGATATATCGTCAGGACTGACAGGTATCTGATTGTATGCCTTCACGAGATCCAGCGTACTGAAGACTTTACAGCCTGAAATGCTGTGTGAAAAGTCGTGAATATGCTTAATCGGATACCTGTCAGGCACTGTACGAGCGTTAAGCAACCTGTAATCCCCGCATGGACGCCAACCGTTGTCCTTCTTTGGCGCTAGGTGCAGAGGTGATGACCAGGGGCTCTCCGAAGGCCGGGCTGTGCCGCTGGTGATCATCGACTGAAATTCCTGTCGCGCTATTTTAAGTTTATCGGGGGCTAGGCGACGGGGTGAGCTAGATACTGGAGGGCCTGGTGTCGTGCGGATATGATGGACGGTGTTGTGTGGTATTGTGTGATGTGTACCAGCTGGTCTAGTGATATCTGGAAACTCATCAAGAATTTTATGATAACGAGAATCACCAGTCAAGACCTTTACAGAGTGAACATTTTTACAATCTACAGATGTGGCAACAGAAAATATAGATGTAGTATTATCTATCAGCTTTTTATTGCGGCAATCTACTATTAAATTATAAAATTTTAAAAAATCTACTCCTATAATAGGTTTTGTTACATCAGCAACTACGAAGCGCCAACTATAGTCTCTATGCATACCAAAATTTAAAGTTAAATGTACATAACCGTATGTTGATATAGTTGACCCATTAGCTGCACACAACTCGAAGTTAGTAGGGGCACGACGGTCACGCAGCGCCGACCGGGGGAAGACACAGAGGTCGCTACCAGTGTCGACCAGGAACTGTAACTTCGAAGATCGGTCGGTAACGAAAAGGCGACCAGTAGTAGAGGATGGGCAATCGTCAGCCGCCATTACCGACTGCCCATGGAGTTTCCCGCCATTTTAAAGTCACAGGGGTGGATACAGTGGCTGGCCTTATCGCCGAATTTACTGTGGTACCAGCAGATCGGGAATTTGCGGTAATTAGACTGTGACCGCGATTTTGACCGAGATCTACTGCGCGTGGTACGTCGAGATGGTCGTTGCTGGTGCTGTTGCTGAATGCCTCTATTAATCGTCAGCGACTGCATTTGCCTACGAAGCTCCGCGACTTCCCTTCTAAGGTCACTGAGCTCCGTATTAGAGGAGGCCTGGTTCATAGAAGCTACCCTGGGCGACACTACAGTGAGGTCGTTTACCCGGTCTGCCAAATCTGCCAAGTCATCCACGTGAGTAGTGGCAGGCTGTCCCGCTAACACCGTCTGGACACCATGTGGGAGACGACTGATCCATATGGTCTTTAGGAAGTCGTCCGGAACGTCGATACCAGCCAGTCCCTTTAAATGGCGAAGAAATTGGGAGGGCTTCCGATCTCCTAGCTCCTCATGCATCAACAACTGCTTCAGTTTATTTTCGTTTGATGCCGTCAGCCTCTTGATGAGCTCAGCCTTGAGCTTGTCATATTTCTGCGTCGCGGGAGGACTTATAATAATATCCTTCACCTCTCTAGAATATTTATTGTCCAACTGGCTGATGACATAATTGAATTTTGTAGCGTCGTTGGTAATGCCGGAAATTGAAAATTGTCCCTCCACCTGAGCGAACCATATTTCCGGTTCTTCGGGCCAGAATGGTGGTACACGGACGGATACTTTATAAACCTCCGCTCCGTCGCGGCTTGCACGGGAAAATTCTCGTCCGTCAATATTCTCGTCAGCAGTGACAATGGAACTGCGCTCTCCGCGTTCCTCAGCGCCATATTGCGTGCCTTCTTGTGCGTCTTGGAATTCTTTATTCATGTTTAAATACGGGGTCACCAGTTTGGGGTTTCTTATTAGTGTAGATATAAAATAAAAGTTCGACTTACGGTTGATAAATATGTATGTATATATTGTCCCAACACGTAAACACAGTTACACTTAGATAGGAAGAAAGTATATACAGTAGAAGGAGAAGAAAGTCACAAGCACAGTAAAGAAATAAGCACAGAATGAATATAAGCACTAATGAATAAGGTGATATAAATGAGAATAAGCAGAGCAATATCAATTACAGTACGGCCGATTTATCAAGCGAGTAGCGAGCGTTCCGCGTCATAGATAGTTCTCGACTGGTTTGGTAATATCGAATTGAATGTGCGCTCGCGCTGTTGGCCGGTTCCTCGGCGCGCTGACTACCTACATAGCGAACAAAAGAGTTGTGACGTCAACCTCTTATTGAGCGTTTCCACTGCACGCTGCAATTGTACTAGACGAACCGGTACGGTTTAATATTGATAAAGTGTAAATAAATATTACGTATATATTTATGTATAAGTATATGTATATTGTATATAATTAAGGTTATTATTATTAAATAATTGTATGTAATAAATATTTGTAAATAACTATAAATAAATTTATGAAACTGTGTATTTATGTGTGGGAATCGCCTACAATTCTATTCTCAGAACTACTGAATATGCATATAAAATTTCATAAAAATCAGTTAAGCCGTATTGGAGGAGTATGATCACTAACATTGTGCCACGAAAATTTTATATAAAAGGTAATATACATTTAGTGGACTTAACACCATGAGGTACTTTCTACCAGTCAACCATAGGTGGTGCAGAGAATAAATGTTAATATTTTCCATTTTATCATCAAATTCAAATTCAAATTCAAAATATCTTTATTCATGTAGGTCTATTACAGACTCTTATGATATGTCAAATCTACCGTCAGTTCGGAATGATTTCGAGATGAGAAGAACTGACAAGAAACTCAGCTCGTATTTTTTGTTTTTAATGTTGTACATATTTACAATAATACTATTTCATTTAAATTCAAATTTGGGAGAATATCGATCATCGATTGCGAAACTGAAGATCGCGGAAAGTGGCAAGAGCTCCACAGACAAGAGCGTAGCTCTTAAATTATGAAAAAAAAAATATCATCGACTGCAACAGTATTGAGTTGAGATCTCTATCAATTAAATTTTCACCCTTCTGCCATACACTCCTATTTTTTAATAATTTAAAATTACCATATATGCCAAAACAACGTTTGCAGGGTAAGTTAGTAAATAAATAGAATACAAAATACACGATGAATCTAACTTTTTACGTATAGCATGAGGGCAGTTATTCCGACCCAATGATTGGACCCCGGAAATGGACAGCAGGAAAGGACTAATAGTACGGTGCTGTATCTCTTTTACAATTGTTTTCAATTTTCCTTTGCTGCCCACGCGGTTGGTTTGGCATATACGGTTTTTATAACGGTATTTACAATATACTAGATGTTCCCGCGACTTCGTTCGCGTGGAATTTAACTTTATTTTTCTAAAATAAAAGTAGCCTAAGTTACTCCTTATTACATCAGCTACCTGCCAAAAGAAGACCCTTTTTTTTCGGACTACTCTAATGCTGTTGGCCGTAGCTGGCCTTTACAGCTTCACCGGACGTTAG